TCAAATGTTTGTTGTTCAGACCTGCTAGGAGTGAGTTACAATAGTCTAATCTAGATAGGATAAGAGATGTTACCAGTGTTTTGTGGTCTCTTCGTTTAAGTACTTTCGAACTAGGCCTATCCTTCTCAACTGAAAATAAAGGGATTTGGAAAGAGATCCTACAAACGAGCCGATTTATAAGTGGTGGTCAATATATACACCGAGATTCCTGACAACTTCTTTACTAGATGTCATATGCCCATATAAATCAAAGTTGACACTTTCCATATCTTTATTTAATCGTGGATTTTTTATAAGAATGATGTCTGTCTTTTCTTCATTTAGTTTCAATTTGTTTACTGCCATCCACTTTTTGATTTCATAAAAACATTGCTCTAGATTAGGTCTGCCTTGATTAACTCCTCCCTTAATCTACATTGCTTTAGTTTATTGCTGTCTATCCCTTCACCATCACAAAATACGGGTTTCGCCTTACAGCATCACAAAAACCCACTAAAAATAATAATCCACGATAGGGCTGCTACACTATAAATAAAAGGAACACACCGACGTCTTTAAAAGAACAGAGGCAGTGTCTACAGCTTGTTCGCTTTCCTCTGACATCGTCAAAAATAATTCTAGGTCATTGACACATTTATCTATTCCCACGAAATTTTGCATGGCTCTTGGACACACGAGCGACCAAAAAAAAAAAAAAAAAAAAAAATCTTGACCAAGTAATAAAAGTTTTTCTCTTTGGGTCCAATATTAAAAACAACTCTTTATAATGCCTACACAGGATCACGTCTCCACGTACAGCAGGTGATCCCGAAAATTACTCACCCCGTCTCTTGAACCGCGTTTCTTATACGGGATGCCCACTACTACTGGATCGGGCGGATCGCCCGACACGGTCGCCTGAAACTGAAAACGTTTGTTTTTGAGACGACCGAGTCGGGCTATCGGCCCGATCGGCCCGATCGGCCGATCCCATCTGTTGTGGGCATCCTGTATTAGGCGAATATAAAAGAGCGGTAATGAGCTTTCGTTGTGAAGAGCTTCCCAGATTTGTTTAGCTTCTCAGTAGAACAATCACAAAGGCCAAAGAAGGAACTTTTTGTCAATTATATTTGTCTAAATTCAGGAAATGAATACATCAAAAATCGGGTTTCGTCATGGGAATCTATCTTTTTGCAGGTACTTGCCAACTTTCAACTCTGTAGCTGTCGCAGTTTTATGGGAAAAGTGACACATGTGTTTCCAAGTTGCCATAATATATATATTATATATATATTGCTCTCCAGCAATGTTCTGTCGTCTGCTTTCGTCTCCTCTTTGTTTGTTTGTTTTAGTATAGGGTTTTACGGCGCTCGCAACTGCATAAGGTCATATGAGCTCGCGGGACACACCTAATACTTTTTCGTTGGTAGGAAATTTTGAAAGTGGAAATGAAAGAAGACAACAGAACATTGTTAGAGATCAGGAAAGGATGTGAAAGGAGACAATTTTAGAGAAGAAAATTTTTTTGTCGCTACCCGGAATCGAACCCGGGACCTTTGAATGAGAGGCCAACACCTTAACCTCTAGGCCACGAGAGCCCCCTCGTCTCCTCTTTCTGCCCCCACCCCCTCACCTCCTTTGCCCCATCCTCTGGGCTCCTGGCTCTTTCAGCAGCCTTTCTACTGCTACTCCTTGGCTCCTTCTTACTGCTGTCTTTCATCCACTCCCCTGATCTTCTGGTAGGAAAGATCTGCACCTAGCCTTCTCGGACAAGGGCGAAAAATCTCGGAGGGCCCGTGTGCAAGTTGCGGACGTTAAAGATCCCTTGGTGGTCTAAAACCGATAAGAGTAGTCTTCGGACGCCACCCGGGGCAAAATTCATAATTTCCTACAAACTGAGAAAGTTTAATGTGTCCCGCGCGCTCATATGACCTTGAGCAGTTGCGAGGGCCGTAAAACACTTTTTTTTTAAAATGTTCAAAAGTAAGTGGTCTCTTTGTTAAGGTTTACTCTACATAATTATTGAGTGCTAACCTGATGTTGGATTTGCAAACCTCAGAAAAACTCAGTTCCCTTAAATCCATAATATATATATATATATATATATATATACACATACAGGGTGATCCCCAAAAAACTGTACAACTTTATTTTCTGATTATCTCGCACAACAATAGTCATAGAATGCTGTAATTTAGAACAGACATAATTCATTCAAAAGGAACTTGTGTGACTTATGAAAACGGAAATGGCTTGAAGAAAAAAGCACCTAAAAGCGCAAAGTTCACCATTTTTTAAAAACCTTGTAAAGAAGGTCGTGAAACGATTGGTTGATCTTTTTCTTTTTTTTTCTCTTTAACTTTTGATTTTCCTTCCCTGTAACATTTATTCAATATTTAATCTCTGTTATGAAGTTATAAAAAAACTAACGATTTCATTCTGAAATTCCTAGTGGCATTGCTCTACATGCCCTCCTTTGGACTCGACACATTTCATGCGTCGTTCGAAATGTTCAATGGCGTCCAAACACAAGGACCTGCTAAACCATGAGTTTTTAAAGCCACATACACTGTATATATTCAGTATAAAGAGGCTTCTATATACAATAGGGAGTGGGGTGCCCAATAGACAGAATTTTTGGAGTTAACATATCCCGCAGGGTGAAAATGGGCTTTGCATTAAACCAAATGTCATCGAGGAAATGATCCCGCTTTTTAAGACAATCTATGAATCAGGAACACGTTGCCATTCTCTGATCCATGTCATCTCAGCCTAGCGAAGATGTAAATGGTGCAGTCGTAGGTTAAGATCTGCCATGAGAATGCAGGTTGTTGAGGTGTAGGAAAGTCCTAGCTGCATATCGTCTACGGATAGACGTCTCATGGGACTCGACTACTGAAAGCTGCATCGTGGTGACGTTTAAAGGGCAGTGCTTGGTGCGTGTTCGACCTGAATTAATCATTTTTAAAGGACATTTTTAGTTCTGATTTGCTATAGATCCAAACTGACAGACATTCTCTTCTCTTGACGTCAAAGGACCTTAGGGCACCTGAGCATTTTCTCCATGCAGTTCGAAGAACTTACGAAATGTCAAGGATGGTGAGTTTGTGGAGATATAATGTTGAATAGAAAAAGCTCTCTGCTCTTTACTAAACGTAGCAATAATCTTGGCAGGCAAACTAAATATGGGAAGAATAATATCTGCAGACTTCTGTTGACTTGTTAGACTGTTATAGCTTGCAATATGGCGCCATTGTTGCAACTGTTAGTGGTAGGCCTAGTGCGAACTGGTGCGTCATGCTATGAAAATGGCGACAAGGTTGAAATGGGTTGTTTGTTTAAAATGTGCCTTATAGAGCAAAACCATTCAATGGACCTATAAAAAATTAATATCAGACAAATCTCTTTTGGCTTCCAAATATTATGTTCAAATCTGAAAGGCAAAACTTCAGTATGGAGGAAGATATTTACAAAACAAATTGTACAGTTTTTTTTTATCCACCTATATTTTATGTATATTAATGTATGCCTGAATTGTCAGTGTTCCAATAAAACAAAAGTACTCTGGAATAGATTGTACATTACGAATGCATGCACCAAGTTTTTCCTTCCACAAAACAAAATCAGTGAGAAATTTCTGGTTTTTGGGCATTTTAAATTTTTACTAACTTAGTTTCTAGAAGAAACACACATGATCCTACACAACTTCGTAAGTGACGTATTTTATAGCAACCCGATGTCATCTTTCAGAAAAAAAAACACAAAACAACTGAAGTCCATTGCTTGGGTCCAATTGGCACTTCGTAGAACATTTTTCCATTGAGAAGATTCATTAATCGATATTGCTTTAAAAAAAAAAAGAAGTAGCCCGAAGTAAGTTAAGAAAAAACCTACTTGTATTTGACTGTCCTTTTCCTCTTGATAGAGAGTAACAACGTAGTATTCATGACCTTGCACGTCATCAGGCAGCAGGCGAGCAGTCAGTGTACTGGGTGTGCCCTGACCTTCGCCGACCACTAAAAGGACCACAGATACCTGGGAAGTGGGATGCGATAACGGAAGCCATTTGGAAATGGTGGAGAGTTGAGCCATAAGGACCAAGAGAAAGAAAATAAGAGAGGGGGAGGAGCTAGATAAATAAATGAGCAGATAGACTGAAGGTCAGAAGATCTATTTTTTTGTCCCGTTTCATTAAGGGACAATTAGATTATTGGGCATGAATGAAAGGATGAATCAGACTGCCTTATAATATATAGACAGATGATGCAATGCACAGACAGACAGACAGACAGACAGACAGACAGACAGAGAGATAGATAGATAGATAGATAGATAGATAAATAGATAGATAGATGGATAGATAGATAGACAGATATATATATATATATATATATATATATATATATGTATATATATATATATATATATACATATATATATATATATATATATATATATATATATATATATATATAGATAGATAGATAGATAGATAGATAGATAGATAGATAGATTCTATTTTTAAAGGGAATGCGAGGTGAATAAAAAAGGATTAAAATGAGTAATCTCAAGATAGAGAGAGGGAGGGGGGGGAAGAAGAAAAGAGAGAGAGAGACAGACATACAGAGAGTTAGTCAGACCGACCGACAAACTGAAAGAGAGAGAGAGAGAGAGAGAGAGAGAGAGAGAGAGAGAGAGAGAGAGAGAGAGAGAGAGAGAGAGAGAGAGAGAGAGAGGGAGAGAGAGAGAGAGAGAGAGAGAGAGAGAGAGAGAGAGAGAGAGAGAGAGAGAGAGAGAGAGAGAGAGAGAGAGAGAGAGAGAGAGAGCAAAGAGTTGAAGGACCCAAGGAAAGAGAACGTATGATCCCCTGAGTATGTGAATGCCTACCATGTCAATACCTTACCACACATACAAATAAATCATTTTGAACGTGGGTCAATCACATCTAGGTGTTTTGAGACTTTTTTATGTTAGCCCCTTACTGTCGATAATTTTTAATCCTGACGAAACAGGACTGAACTGAAGAGGTAGTAAGGGTATGTACTGCAAAAAGAAATAATGACATCCCTGTACCACTGATAATGTGACGTGGGAGTAGCAACCCACACACCTCCAGCTTGGTGGACCGGGGAACAGCGACTTTATAATTTGTAAAAAACGGGGAAAAAATTGTTCTCGGAACTGCGACTGCGCTAAACGAATACCTCTTCTTGATGGTATAGACAAAGATCGTGTATGACAAGATAGTTCACTCCTCTCTTTGAGTCAATTAAAAAAGTGTCCTCAAAATCCGCTGGCGCCCTCTTCGGAAAAGTGCGGACTTTGCGATCAGAGTTATCCTTCTTGTGGGAAAAACAATAAAAGTGAAACTAGCAAACGGTGCTATTCCTATTCTTTTTCTGGAGGAACAAAAGACAGCTTCAATGCAAAGACTGCAGCGCCATCTGAACCAATGTGCGGACTTCCGCGGACACTTTTTTGGCTGAGTGAACTATCTTGTTAAATACGCTCTTTGGTATTGACCATGGTATCGATTTAACCAGCCGACGATTACAAATTTGCTTATAAACTTATTGAATGCTATGTTCTCTCGTAAATAATAGCAAGTTAACAAAATGACTCGCTGGTGACTCTTTTTCTTGCTGGATTTAGAAGACCGCAAAAATATATATATTATTATATTATGAATATTGTATCACACAGTTTTTCTTATCACAAAGAGGAAGGACAACTGTCAGTTTTAACTAATCTCGATAGACCCTTTAGACCCCTAAAGTCAGAAATGGGAGAGGCGAGACGCTGAATCCCTTCGGAGTTTGCTGCCGAGTGGGATTAAATTTTGCTTGCAAGGCGAGTTGATCGACAGACAATGTCATTATCTGTAGACGATTACACCAAGATAAACTATAACAAAGAAATACTGTGTAATAATAAGCGCAGTCCTCCAGCTGAGTTGCGCCCTGACAATTTACTGTCGCACCTACGTCTAATGGCCACCTGTCCAAGACAGTCACCTGCATAAACGACCACTTCCTATTTCTCCCTTTACGTTAAAAAAGTATTATAATGGCACTGTTCACGATGTCCACCTGTCTAGGTTAACCATTCTTCTCTTCGATTCACTATGGATCACAAGATGACGCAGAGCTTCAGAAAAAGACAGACAGAAGATGAAAACAGAATTTCCCTGGATCAGTGACACACCTCTCCTGTGGCCTCGACCCTCACAGTGCGATTTGTGATCCTTGACCCTAAGGCCAGCGTAGAACGCGGGAAGTCAGCAACAGTCTCTGTGTCTTTCTCAGGGGCCATGGTGTAAGTCATGGACTTCGTACCTGGTTGTAAACAAGATACACAGTTTGTAAGATAATGTAATCGCACTTGATAACCATTCGAGCTTACTTAGTCTTGGGTATAAACCAAAGGAGAATATCGTGCATGTATAGACACGTTTGACTTTCCTCTCATTTCAGCATACATATCTGGAAGTTAATTCCTCGGTCTTTCTGTTTCTTGCTCGCTTTTTATAGGCTTTTTCTCAACAGGCAGCCAGTGCAGTGTCCGTAAAGAGGTGTAGCAGAGTCTCGGTTTCTTTTCTATAAAACTAAATGCGTAACATTGTTTTGAAAAGTTGTTTCTTATTCTACAGTGATATTCCATTATTTAATGCACGCCAGTAATTTTTGGTTGATTATGTGCAATTTCAGAGGGAGTCAGACAGCTTGTTTCTGACAAATCAGAATACCGATTTAGGTCTGTAACTGATCCCACTACCTGGGATGAAGAGTAGAGGAGAAAAATATATAAAAAGGGTGAAATGGTATGGGTTTAACGCCCTTATCAACACTATTCGGTTATCTAAGAGGCAGGACCTCCTAGTTTAACGTCCATCTCCGAAAGGACTGAGCCAAGTGGGACATTTGTGCAAATATAATTGTATAAACATTTTTATTAATTTAAAGTGTAAGCTAGTATGAACTCAAAATCTATTTAAAGCCTATGCCAAACACTCAAAGAAGACTGCCTTTTATGTGCTGTCAAACAGATTGAAAATCCTTCAAAAGGCTGTGTACGATAACCGCTCCTTAAAGGAAGTGTCAAGCATATAGGGCTTACTGAAAATCCTAAAAGAAAATGCAAGCACACACTTTAAACTCACCTAATGGAGTGGAGACGGTGAAATTCACCGTTTCATTTGATCGTTTTGTAACCAGAAGATAGATAGTACTGGCAGCTACTTCTTCGGGCAGTTTGTAATGTTCCGGGATAAGAAAGGTAAATTCAAGGCCGTAACTGTCTCTGTCGCCTGCAGATGACAAATAGACAGGGTTCAAAGACATTAATAGAATCTAGTTGTTCTCTTCCCTGCATCCCATCACCGCCTCTCTTTCTCTCTCTCTCTCTCTCTCTCTCTCTCTCTCTCTCTCTCTCATTCCCCCTCTCTCTCTCTCAATCTGTATGCGTGTATAGATGAGTGCGCATGTGTGGGTTGAATGATAAGATGAGATAGCAGGAGTTATAAGAAATAAAGTCTTGAAGTCAAAACAAATCGTAATTGTAGATGTACTAAAACAACCCGACACAGTTAAGAGAAAGATATTTCTAGCATCTGCGTTTGTTGCAATTTTTTTTGGTGGGGACACGCTCCAGCATAACATATTTATATAGCGGCGTCCAAAAGAAACTTGAAAATGTAATCACCCAAGCATCGTGTTAAAACCTCACATTACCCACTCATGCAGCATACCAAATTAAAGCTGAATAAATTCTGCATCATCGGACTAATTAATAATTCATCTACGTCAAGAGACGCCAGAGATATTTTCACTCAAAATTGACCTTAAAAAATCAGGCTTGGCAAAATGTGCGAAATCAAAGAAACGTAAAATAATCGGTGCGCGTGTATCCAGCTTCAGCTTTTGTCGGCCGCGATTTATTGCATTTTTTGGCCCTCTCGTGGCCGCAATTTTTGAATTTTTTCAACAAAAAAACCACCGCCGGGAAGAAAAAATAATTTAAATACAACAACAACAACAAAAACGGGGAATAACATTCGTGAAAAAAAAAGAAACCGAACCTCTTTATTTTTAGAAAGAAAGTTTTTATTTCACTTTCGCTTCACTTCGTCTCATTCTCACTTGTTCACTCCACGTTGAATTGTAATTTTCATGTGAAGAATATAAGTAGGCTACATTACATACAATTTATATTGCTGTTTCTCTTTCATGCTTCCCTCTCTGTGGTGTTCTAATTTCTTGGTGTATTAATATTTTCCTTCTCGTTATTGTTCTGATGTGTTGTTTTTCTATTTTTGTGTATATATAGCGTTATGTTCTTTCTACCTTTTTAAAAATTTGATAGAAAATGTGTCATGTTAGAGTGTGTCTCCACCAAAACCGAATACTGACACTGGCAGGCCCCTTGTGTGTGATTCCATAATTTACATGTTATATCCTGTGCTTTTTCTTGAATTACACGCATTTAGGGTTAAAACGGCCTGTCTACGGATAGGTTGATTTTTATTTGCTATTCTAATTTTGATTTCATTCTGTTGTGAAACCTTTATTTTCACGTTTTTACACTCTGTAAGGCTACAAATAATATTCTGGATGCTTAAAATAGACCGCAAGAAATTCTAGTGTTTTAGATTAAGTTACCTCTATCAACATATTGCTAATATATTATGTTGTCACGGAGAGTAGAAAGCTTGAAAATAAATGGCAACTTTTTGGGCAACTTTTGCCATTTTTGTGGCAACTTTTGGCAACTTTTGGAGAAAAAAAAGTCAACAAACGCAGATGCTAGGTGTATTGAGGAGCATCAATAATTGATAGAACGGACATACATTGCATATCCAATGAATGGAGAATCTTGTCTCTGTAATAAACACTATTTTATTAAGATATTTCGTCACAGTAGTTTCAAACCAAACGGAAACCAGAGCAATCACAAACACCACGCCAAAATTGGAATTAACATTAAATGTGCTCATTGTTGTTTGTTTTGTTTTTGCTTAGGAGGCATTAGTTTTGCGTAGTCCACGAACGCTTTTGACATCGACTCTATTAAATTTTAGGCATAATTATGTTTCATTTAATCCCACATGTGACAGTGAGTTGCAGACAAAGGGTCTGAATTGGGAGCAAGTCGCTTTCCTTCAGATGCTGTTTCATAGGGATTTCATATCGGGGCTATTTACTGGTGATCACTCCACGTTAATTTGATTTGGGCCCTTTAAGAAAGTGCTTTGCTATGCATGGAGATGTTTATTGAATGACACCATGACGGAAATAGGGGTAAAACATGACGTTCCAGCACTTGCACAATGCAGTCATTTAAAACAAAATTAAAACTAATTAACATATTATGTAACTGTTAAATCCAGGTTTTGCGTGGTATTTGTTACTACAAGTACTCTGTTATCCAATCTGTTTGAAAATATCACAGTATATCATTGTGGAGACGTATTCCATTTTCATTTGATATTCAATACAAGCCCATTCCACCAATGTCGATGCACCTCAATATACGCACGAAAACAGTTGTTAAGTTGTTTTGATTTTACACCATTTTGCCAAGCCTGATTATTTAAGGTCAATTTTGAGTGACCATATCACAGGCATCTCTTGACATAGAAGAATTATAAATGTGTCAGATGAAAAATAATTTATTTAGCTTTAAATTGGTATGCTGCATAAGCGCGTAGTACAAGGCTATAACACAATGATTGGGTGATTACATTTTCAAGTTTCTTTTGGACGCCACTGTATATTAAAAAAGGTAGGAACAACATAAAATTAAATGACATTACGCTATATAAACACAAAAATAGAAAAACAATACATCAAAGCAATAACAAGAAAAAACAATTAACACACCAACAATTTAAATTAAAACATAACAAAGAGGGAAAATTATTATTAGAAGCAATATAAACAGTATGTAATTTACTTATATTTTTCACATGAAAATAACAGATCAACCTGGTGTCAACAAGTGAGAATTAGACGAAGTGAAGCGGAAGTGAAAATAAACTTTCTTTCTAAAAGTAAAGAGGTCCGGTTTCTTTTTTTGTTTGATTTTCAATTTATGTTCCCCGGTTTGTTTTCGATTTTGTATTTCCCGGCGGTGGGGATTTTTTTTCCTTTTTTGGTGAAAAAATGAGAAAAATCACGGCCACGGCAAACGCAGATGCTAGATAATAAAAAAAAAGTCTCCTCTCATGGGAATCGAACTCACATCTTTTGCGTGCTTCGTTTCATCAAACGCTACACAACATACACTGGCGTATTTATTAATGTCACTATAAGATTATTTCTGATGTTACCATCATTCGTCATTGCTGCAGTCATGACCGTAGCAGAAGCAACATTAATAATAACAGTAGCAGTAACAGTAGAATTAGAAGTAGCAGTTGTAATAGTATTCGTAATAGCTGAATTAAAGCTATTGTAGTGCCAGCAGCAGCAGCAGCAGGAGGAAGATGAAGAGGAGGAGGAGTGCTTGTGGTAGTATAAAGGCAGCCTTAGTGGTTGTAAAACATGTACATGTACTTGCAATAGAAGGAATTTTGTGTAATTTGAGTAAAGAGCTAAAGGTAAGGTCGTTTAGTGAAGGGAAAATGGAAAACAGACGGACAAAGCGAACTAAAAAAGGAAGAGTGAAGAAGCTGGATCAACTATTGGCAGACTGCAACCACCTGAAAGTGGCAGTGGTGGTGGTGGCAGTAGTCAGAGTATTAATAGCAGCAGCAGCAGCAGCAGCAGCAGCATCATCATCATCATCATCATCATCAACAACAACACAGCAGCAGCAGCAGCAGCAGCAGCAGCAGCAGCACAAGCAGTAGATACAAGAGCAACAGCAGCCACGTGCAGTAGGCTAAAAGCATGTGCTGTTCTATTATAACCAACGATCGAAAGTGTTTGGGCTCTACATGGAAAACATACAGACTTTTTAGATCCTGTGCTGATGGTGCATGCAGTAGGCCTTAATCAAGCCAAATCCATGTAAATAAATTACATGTATGTTAGATGTAGTGAGTGCACTGGCATGACAATTTCAGTGTTTTGTTGTTAGTTCGTAATCTTGTGTCTTTTCTGTTTCGAACCGAGGACCTATAGAATAAGAGGCAAACACCGTAATCTAGACCACAAGAGTCCCCATTTAAGTCAAAATAATTAAATCGAAGAAACTGGCATTTTTCCGTCTGCTGAGGAAGTTATTTTGGCTTGACAGCTTCGATGTCCACTGAAAAACTCGTTTCTGAGTGAACTTTTACGGAAAAATATTGATTAAAGGCACAACAAATATGTGGGGCAGCATGGTGGAATCAGGCTCTCGTCAAAATAATCAAAGTGAAGAAATTTGTATTTTTCCGCAGGTTTGTGAATTTTTATCCAATTTTTGTTTTTTAGCTCAACATCTCTCATGCCCATTAAAGAACTCATTTCTGTTCGGGGTTTTCTGAAAAACGTTGATTAAATGCACAAAAAATGTAAATTTTCAGTTACCACGAACTCTTAAGCTAAGGAAATAGCTAATATTTGGCGGCCATTTTCTCACTAATTTTACTTCTGAAAACAAGTGACCCCAACCTCCTTCATTTGCAAACATCTCGACTTGTGTTCAAGATAAATGAATACTTTTTTCATCCAAATAAAGACAAATGAACAAGCTTTAAGATGATACCAATAACTCTACATGCCCAAAAATTGACGAGAGCCTAATTCCACCACGCTGCCTCACATATAAACTTGCAGTTGCCAAGGACACCCAAGCTTTGAAAGCCACCAACTTTGGCGACAATTTTCTCGATAATTTTACCCCTGAAACCAAGTGACCCCCACCTCCTTCAGTAACAAATATCTCCACTTTTTTCAAGACAGATGTGTATTTTTTTCCATTAAAAGCAAGACAAAACTAGATGACAGATCTACCAATAATTTCTCGTGCTCCAAAACTGACGGGTGCCTGATTCCACCGTGTCGTGATATCTAGCTTCGCGGTGTTGAACTTTCTTTCCTGGCGAGAGTAGACCTGTGCAGTTCATGTTTCACTTGTGTACAGCAGTGAGTTTAAAACGTTGATTGGTACACTTTCAAACAGGGCTTCATGTTAAGGGAGGGGGGGGGGGGGCTACACCTGAAGGCTATATCGCTTATTACTGGACCAAAGTTTACCCCATTTCACACATAACAAGCATAGTAAGGAGTTTTAAAATCCGCACTCAAATTTGAGAAAAAAATGTTTCATTTTCATGGATACGGCGGCCATATTGGATTTTGTTGACATGTCTTACGTAATGAACACCCCACTTATTGCTCATGGAAATTCATAGTTTTTTTTTTGCATGCGTATTAACAAACAGTAAATAAAAAAAAATGTTTGTTGTTTTTTTCCTAAACGAATTAAAATTTTTTAATGAATTTTTTCCAGAGGTAGCATTCAAGTTTGCGAAAAATCCGTGAAAATCCACACTCCAGACACCACAACCAAAATTCTATTCCATGTATCAAAAATTCTACAAACGAATTTTAGTATTACATCTTCTCTTCATTCTGTGAAAATTTCATGAAGATTGGATTAAAAAATGGTGGAGTTATTGAAAAAAGTTTAGAGAAAAGTCGCATTTTGAATAAACGGCTGATAAAGAAAAATAAAATATTGACTTTATAGGGAAATGGTGGTGATAAACATGCCAGGTATGGGAATAAATACGGTTTATGGGGGTTCTTATGCAATGAAATAGTTGTAGGAGAGGCTGAGGAAGCTAAAAAATCCTACAACTCAAATTCCATAATTTCGAATCGAACCGGGACTTTGGGGGTGTAGCCCCCCCCCCCCTCCTTCCCTTACCTAAACTCTTGCTTTTGGTCGTGGATGTTTAGTCAATTCAAATAATAAATTCTTTACCAAGTGCTTGCTTGCTCGTCTTTGAAGTGGTCTACGACTTGTGGATGTTCATCTTCATTCTATTATTTTGAGTTCTCCATAAATCAATTAACGAGATCGAGAAAATTTAAGAAAAAAAAAATTGAAACAAAGTTGGGTAAAACTCAAAATGTGAGGCAGCGTTGTGAAATCAGGCGCTCGTCAAAATAACCAAATCAGGGAAAAAAATGTATTTTTCCGCAAGTTTGGGAATTTTAAATCGAATTTTCATTTTTTTGCGTAACCTCTTTTAGGTCCATATGAAAACACATTTCTAGGTGAATTTTACAGGAAAAACACTGATTATTTGCACAAAATATGTAATTTTTCAGTTTTCAAAGACTTTAGCTATGGAGTTACCAAACTTTGGTGACCATTTTCTCACTAATTTCACCATTGAAACCAGGCGACCTCAATTCTATTCAAGATAAATGGATATTTCTTTCATTGGAACCAAGGCAAACGAATCAGCTTTCAGATGATACCAGTAACTCCACATGCCCAAAAATTGACGAGCGCCTGATTCCAGCGCGTCGTGACACAAATGTTACCTATTAGAAGCATTCAGCCTCCGGGACATGATCTGTCCGTTCTGGTTTCAAGACTAAGACGGTAAAAATACGACAGCTACCTCACATGGATATCTCACTGTGCTGGGAAAGTTTTGGATACGTTTGGAGAGGAGAAGTTGTTGTGTTGTAGAGGCCTGGTTCCAGTGTGTGATGGGGCCATACTCCAAACGTCAAGAGTGGCCTTTGTATGGTCACCACATCCAAACCTCTCCACTGGAGCCACTTCATAATTTATAACATGTGTATTTTTTGACAGACGGAGTTTACGGAAACAATCCACGAACAATCAACTGTTGAAACTCGGTGTTGAACAGAAGCTCCAAGAGAATCGATTCGGATATAAATGCCACGTACCACCAAAGAGTCTACATAGCAAGAGGGGCCACTCCTCTCTTTGAGCCAGTTAAAAAAGTATCCTCAAAATTCGTTGGCGCCCTCTGCGGAAATGCGCACCCTTTGCGTACAGAGTTACCCTACTTGTGTTTAAAAAAATCAAAGTGAAACTAGCAAGTTTTTGAATAAATTTCGAAAGAACGCTTTTTTAAAATGGTTAGGCTGATAAAAAAACTTTTCCAGAGGTAGGGGTGATTGTTTTCTTCGTTTAATTTGACTTTAGAATGAAAGGCGAGAGGTCATAAAAAAACAAAAAAACTAATAAAACTCCGCACTGAACGAACCCGAACCGCTGATGAACAGCAATCGATCTGCGTACGCATATTCTTCTTCTGGAAAAAAGAAAGAGAGCTTCAAAACAGACTGCAGTGCTATCTGAAGCAAAGAGAGGACTTCCGGCGGACACTTTTTTGGCTGAGTGGACCATCTTGTTATGTACCATCTTTGATACCACAGAGTTATTCAAAAATGTTAACGTTACGTTGCATTGGAGATTGTAGGGAGAGAATTAGTCAAAACCTGGAGATTTGAATAGCTACCACCTTCCCTGGGTTTCTTTGGCATTATCAGTTTGTACACACTTTTTCTTCAATGCACAAATAGTGTATAATATACACCATATTAAATAGAACAATACGGTTGATTTTTAAGAAGTTGCCAAGTTTTGCGCTTCACTCAGTTTTGGTGGTAATTTAATAAACTTGATATTTTTCAAACATATTAGTTGATTTTGCACATAGTAACAAATGTAGCGTCCTCCCTATTTCAATTTAATGACATTTTGTTAAAATAGGTCCCAAGATGACCGAGCTATTGCCCTTTGAATGGATCCTCTTTTTTGTTTTTAGACACCCGGTACAACAGTCATAAAACAACAACAAAATAGCAACACCTGGACAAGAAGCAGGACTCACCAGCTTCGCTGTTGCTCTGCGAACAATCTTCTTTTGTGAGTGTGAAGCAATCTTGATTCATGAAGAGGCCCTCACTTTCGTTGACAGTCTCTTCACATGCCTGTCCAGAGGAGAAATTTAATAGGTAAGGGATACCCTATTTTACGGGGAAAGGTGGGCTCTGTTAATTAATAGGTGGCGGAGCTCAGGTTGGGGTGCAGGAGTAACGAAGGGCCCTTTATGGTTAAAAAAGAGGAATAATGTTGTCGTTGTGAGAATGAAAGTCTGCTTTTTATTATTTTTTTCTTTTTGTAAGTGTTTTACGGCGCTCGCAACTGCATAAGGTCATATGAGCGCGCGGGACACATTAAATTACATTTTCAGTTGGTAAGAAATTTTGATTTGCCCGGGTGGCGCCCGAAGCCACCAAGGGATCTTTAACGTGCGCAACTTGCACACGGACCCTCCGAGATTTTTCGCCCTTGTCCGAGAAGGCTAGGTGTAGATCATTCCTATCAGAAGATCAGGGGTGTGGTTGAAAGACAGAAGTAAGAAGGAGCCAAGGAGTAGCAGTAGAAAGGCTGCAGAAGGAGTCAGAAGCCCAGAGGAGGGGGCAAAGGAGGTGAAGTTGCGGGGGCAGAAAGAGGAGACGAAAGCAGACGACAGAACATTGCTAGAGAGCAGGAAAGGGGGTGAAACGAGACAATTTTAAAGAAGAAAATGTTTCGGTCGCTACCCGGATTCGAACCCGGGACCTTTGAATGAGAGGCAAACACCTTAACCTCTAGGCCACGAGAGCCCCCTTTTAAAATTTAGTTTTAGTAGAGGCTTTACAGTGCTCGCAACTGCATTAGGTCATATGAGCGCCAAGGGGTGGATGTCAATAATAGACCTAACAGGGAATCAGGCTTACTCTGCTCACCTCTCCAGCTTCAACAGCACAGAGTCTGCTTTGACTATCAAGGCACCCCGGGAAGAGCGGTCACAAGAGTGTGACAAACATACAAAAGAAGTAGAGGAAACGTGACGATAATAAGGATGAGCAAAGAAAACTGTTGCCGTTCAGGCCCAGTTATCAGCATGAAAATGACGAATCAGCCCATTTACAATTCTACAATGCATAAAGACACTTCAGTCAGTAGCACCGCCCCGGTGCGTAAAAATCTGTTTAAGTCTAGAAGTCGCTTATAAGTGATAATGTACTTTTGGGGACCTGTTAACAAGTCTTAAATTTTTAATTTAATATTTTATCTAGTGTGTACATTTCTTGTATTCTCTTAATTGCAAGTGAATATCATTTTGCTGGAATTAGTGTGAAATATGAAAATAATATCGATACGTGCGATGTTAAGAACTAAAATAGCCAGGTAACTAAATACACATGTAAAAATCATTTTGCTCCACAATAACCACTGCAATGTGTTGAAATCGTGACCACACGTCCCCCCCCTCTCTCTCTCACTCTTTCTCTCTCTCTCACTCTCTCTCTCTCTCTCTTTCTGTCTCTCTCTCTTTGCGTGTGTGGTGTGTGTGTGTGTGTGTGTGTGTGTGTGTGTGTGTGTGTGTGAGTGTGTGCTTGTGTGTGTGTGTGTGTGTGTGTGTCTTTGTATGCATTTTATATGTGTGTGTGTATGTGTGTGTGTGTGTGTGTTTGTATGCATTTTATGTATGTGTGTGTGTGCGTGTGTGTATGTGTGTGTGTGTGTGTGTGTGTGTGTGTGTTTGTATGTATTTTATGTATGTGTGTGTGTGTGTGTGTGTGTGTGTGTGTGTGTGTGTTGCTGTGTGTGTGTGTGTGTTGTTGTGTGTTGTTCTGTATTTTTGTGTGTATTTATATATACGTACAATTCATAATTTTTGTTCGTACGTTACACCCCAATCAACTCAATTTAGGTAATCCAAGAGACGGGCTACTCCGACCACGAATGTTGTGTGACAACCTAGGCTGAAAAGGATGCAACGTTTCAACAGTCGAACAGAAATACTTGATTAAAAAACAACAACAACACAAAAACAAAAAACAAAAAACAAAAGTTTTTCCAACTCGGGAATCGTTCTCACCAATTCAGCGAACATTGATGTAGAGTCTAGCTCTGCTAATGCACCGTTGCAGACGTATGTGTGTGTGTGTGTGTGTGTGTGTGTGTGTGTGTGTGTGTGTGTGTGTGCATGTATGTGTGTGTGTGTTTGTGTGTGCATGCGTTTGTGTGTGTGTGTGTGTTTGTTTGTGCATGCGTTTGAGTGTGTGTGTGTGTGTGTGTGTGTGTGTGTGTGTGTGTGTGTGTGTGTGTGTGTGTGTGTGTGTGTGTGTGTGTGTGTGTGTTTGTGCATTCGTTTGTTTTTGTGTGTGTTTGTATGTGTTTGTTTGTGTGTTTGTGTGTGTTTGTGTATGTGCGTGTGCATGTGTGTGTGTGTATGTATGTATGTATGTCGATCGGTAGGTCGGAAGGTCTGTCTGTCGGTTGATATATATATAATTAGTGTAAACAATATAATAATATTATAGTCGAGACGATGATCAGGACATTCATTTACGTAGCAACCACATTTTCATCTCACCGGGTTGATGACTCCAGAGCCTGGAGCAACAGACACTTGCGTTGTGCCATTGTCTCTTTCTATGAAAAGATACACAGCGAACGGCGCATGCGTCATTAGTGTATGCTTGTCCGTACAACTGACAGGCATTGGCAGGGGACTGGGCAGGTAAGGTTCTCTGTAGTGCTAAGGAGGATAATAACATGGCATTATGATAGGGTAAAGCCACGCTAGAACCAGTCAAATTCTTTTTTATTGTAAAAATCGGATTTCCAGCAAGATGTGTTTGCTGTGGAGCTGCTATCATCGTTATTGATGTGGGAAAATTTAGTAGTTTATTGAGTTTTGTGTGTGCGAGTGATTGTCAGGGTATGTGTATTCATTTATTTGTGTGTGTGTGTGTGTGTGTGTGTGTGTGTGTGTGTGTGTGTGTGTGTGTGTGTGTGTGTGTGTGTGTGTGTGTGTTTCCGTTTGTTTCAGTGTGTGTGTGTGTGTGTGTGTGTGTGTGTGTGTATGTGTGTGTGTTTCCGTTTGTTTCAGTGTGTGAGTGTGTGTGTGTGTGTGTGTGTGTGTGTGTGTGTGTGTGTGTGTGTATGTGTGTGTGTGTGTGTGTGGTCCTACATAAACCTTCATTTATGTCGCAAAGCTTAGTCTCTTCAGTCTTCGTCTTACCATCAAAGACAGGATTCTTTTCCCCTATCGAAATTCTTGTTTTATCGAGTATCTCCGGCTTTTTGCTGATCACCGTATCCCACTCAACTGGGCCGGTATAAGGTAAAGTTGTTCCCGCATCTGATCCGGACATTGGGGATTGCCTTGTTAGTGAGACAACTTCCTGGGCCTTCGGCATACTGTGGTAGGGTGGCAAGTTCCTTTCCACGCCGCCTTTGCTTCCTGAACTCAAAGTCAGGTACCCATGACAGCTGGGGGGGGGGGGGGGGGGGGGGGGGGAAAGCAGGAGGGGGTGAAAAAAATCTGTGGCCGAACAGAATCTCGAACCCGGACTTTCTGCTTCGGAGACGAGCGCACTAACCTCTCCTTCACCACACCCTCAATTCGTGTAAAAGCAACTCGGCTCGGACTCAACCTAAATGAAATTAATGGGGCCCACAATGTTAACAATCATTTAAAATGACACCTTGCAATGGAGTATGTAGGCCTGCCTAATTATAATGTGGTAAAGTACAATGCCCCACCCCCCCAAAAAAAAAAGAAAAGAAAAGAAAACCAACAAAAAATAACAATAATCAAACCAAAACAAAAGAAAAACACGAACAAAACACCCGCCCACCCGCCCACCCGCCCACCCCCTCACCCCAAAAAAGAATTATTACAAATAAAAAATCTACTCAGATTCAATGTTTATTAGGAAACATGAACATTTAATTAATTTTCTTTTTACACCTTTAAGTATAAAATGCCTATATCAGCGAGTAAGGCTCAATGTAGATTTGTAAAAATGAGTTTTTATAGCAGAATATATTCTTTTAAAATTGTCTTGTCTTATGACTTGCTTCTAATAATAAATGATTTTGATCCCGACTCTGTGCTCCCTATAAAGTAAGTAATAATAGTATGCAAAAATAGAAGTTAAAAGTTTTAAGAGACATTGGCCATTTAAATTAATGCGGGATCCGAAAACAACCTCTTTTCGTTCAGTTCATCATATTATTTGGGACGTAGCTTGGCGCAGAAACTCGAAAAACACTTTTTTTGGGTGTAAATGTAGGATTTAATTCCCCCCCGCCCCAGCAAACACCATTTAGAACTGGGAAATATATTTGGCTGATCTTGTCCAAGCGGATACAGAAATCTGGCTATCTCAAGGGCGACTGTCAAACTTAAAATAATAATATTTTAAAACTTGATTACTGCCCATGTGATCTGAACTTTCACATTCCCTCTTCTCAGACGTAACAAAACACACTCCAAGAGATGTACAAAAGTGAGAACTTTCCTTCAGGTACTTACAGCAACTATGTAATCTGTTACATTTAGCTCGTACTGATCAAGCATATGGTCGACATGCCCCTCAAGGCAGCTGAGATACTTCTTCTGTGTAACAACTACAATTTTCACTTCCGAGACGGATGGCAGATTAGGATTCTGAAAGGCAAAAATAATACAACAATAATAAAAAATAAATTACATTTTATTGACCCCTGTGGGGGAAATTGGTGATGATTATACCATTGCAGTGAAAATAATAGATTTGGGAAACGAAATATTTTTACTTTTCTTTGAAAAGAATCGGGATCCCCCAGGATAGGGCTTAATGTTGAAAAATATACCAGTGCTCAGAAAAACGAAGAAGACAGGTTTACAATACTAGAATATACAAGTACGTGCTCGGGCCCACGAGGGCCAATCCAGGCATTGGCCATTACGTTGCTGCCGTGACGTCTTCAATAGTTTTAACAGTACTTGGAATCCTCAAAAATAGGTTCATAATACCCATTGCTGTTAGAAAGAAAAGAGACGCCAAAGAAATAATAGTATAGGCTCCTTTAAAAAAAATTCAGGACTGCCATGATATCGAATGGATATGAACAATAATTTCGTAGATTCCTTCTGTGTTAATAGAATGATGTGTCGAAGAAAAGAGAGGTCTTCATTTATTCTTAGTTAATTGATCATTTAAAGGATTTTGATAAAATTCGACAGGGCGAACTATTTCATTTAACATTTTGGAAGAACTAAATATGATTGGAAATGATTTTTTTAAAGAGCCATTAATTGGTACGAGGGTCGCAAAGCTGCTTTACGAATTGAGGGAAAGCCCTGTGAAGAGAAAACGATTGAAAGAGAAGTCGTCTCTACAACATAAAAAGAGAATAAACCCCAAAAGTAAAGAAAAAGTCAAGTTTTCAAAGTAAGTTAAAAAAACCATTCATAGCATCAGGTATGCTGTTGACAAAGGTTTGATCCAGATTCAGAAAAAGACCACTATTTAAAGAGATTATTGCACCTAAAGGTGAACATAGGCGGATTTTTCTTTAAATAAATAAAACAATGCCTAAAAGTTTCTTAAAAAGCTAAGAGTTCGATAGGTAATCTCATAAGGAAAAGCGACGAAAGCAAACAAGTTCAAAAGTTAAAATGTGTTGGACACATTATTGCATACGATAGTAAATTCACCACATAAATTAAACGAAAAATTACATCAGCTAAAGATAGTTTCCATAAAATGTGTCCAATCCTTAAAAATAGAAACTCCTTAATGACATCCAAAATGAGAGTTTTAAAAGGCTCTGTGGTCAATATTTCTATACAGCTGTGAATGCTGGATAGTAATTTAAGATAGGTAAAATAAACTAGAGGCAACATAAATTTGTTTTCTTAGGAGAGTGCTAATAAGTTGCTTCATTGAAATATGTCAAATCAAACTTTCACGAAGTAGTATGGAGGGAGCATGCGTGGTGACTTCACAAAAAAAGGAACTAGGATAACATAAATGGAAATCCTAAGTCACCTAACAAATAGGTCTTTAATACCTTGCTCTCACTGAACAAATAGAAGACTAAAGAAACAGACGTAGACCAAAAATGACTAAGAGAAGGCAAACAGATTGGTGGCGAGAATAGACGAGATTTATATGAACAGATTATAATACTAAAGTCAGTTGAGAACATCAATGCAGTGAATTGAGTGGCAAACCATGATCAACAATGCTGCTTCAGATTTGTCGCTTAAAACATAATCCACCTCTAAACCTTTGGTTAGATTTCCTGAGCAGCAAATCTGTTAAAAAGGTACTGTTGATCAAATGGACAGACAGGGTCACCAACGAGGAAGTGTTAAGGAAAACAAGACAGATACCAGTGACAGCTGAGGAAGTAGAATGCGGTGGCGATGGATTGGACATACTCCCAGGACGTCAGGCAGCTGCATAACAAAGAAAGTGTTGGGTTGGATTCCACAAGGTAAAAGATCAAGGGAAGACCGCGTTGAACCTGGAGAAGAATCACAGAATTTGATGTATAGAAATACGGGAGGACATGGAGTAACATCAAGAGGCTAGCCCAGGGTAGAGAAAGGTGGAAAGTGTTTTTCCGAGGCCTATACACTGGTGCAGCGTGAGAAAGGCAATAATGATGAAACTTCTGTAATGTTTACCCTCTTCGTTCGAGAATGAAACAAGAAGTAAACAAAAAACAACAAACAAACAAACAAACAAAACGAAACAAATGGAAAGAAAACGATAATGCACCATGTTGTGGCATGGAATTATGCACAATAATGTACAGGTTCATAGAAAAGACTTGAAAAAAAAATTAAGAGCACTTTCTCACATCTCTGCTCTATTAGTCACTAAATTATACTTACACCAGGAACGTAAATCTTAGGTTCTTTTGAATGCAATGCTGTCGGACTGATGTACGTCATAGTTGGGTATTTATGTTCCTTCCCACTTTGTGAAAACTTTGCCACAACGATGGGACGGGTGGACTCGACGTGAACAACATGTCCCGTTATGGTACTAAAGGAAAAAAAGAACATTTTAATTGAATGATTTGCGGAAACAAATTACGTAGGGGATAAGAAATAGACAAAGGTGAGAATAAGGGATTAAAGTATGACCAAGAAAAGAAAGATGCCCGACAAATGTGACACAAAAGAAAATATCAGTAGATTTTGACAATATGAGTATCATATTTTCCCTGTCCACACTAATTCTAAAAAGAAACATTCTTCAACAGAGTTGTTTATCTCGTGTTATAGGGGCCTACTACCAGATCAAACAATCTTCACAGGGGCACTAGGTGCATGACTAACTAAAAACTATGATGAAAGTTAAGTTCAAATAGGTATGGCACGTGTTTATTTCCTCAGGGGAGGCTACGTGCAAAATACAATGGGAGAAAATGCTTATGTAAACTGTGTTTGCCCCAAAAATAGCAATCGTAGATATTTTACACCACCACCGACACAGTTCAGATCATTTTGGAGGTGATTTGCTTCGACCCTGCGTGTCAGGGCTAACCTGGGCTGAGAGGAATACAAATGAAGGGCACAAGGAAAAAAAGGGGGGTCACTTTTTGGGGCTTGAGAAAAACACGAATGAAATGCTTGAAAGCCCACATATGTCCATAATATAACTTATTATAAGTTATGATGCCTGTTATTGGGCGACACATCAGGTTTTTACACTGGAAAAACAGAAGGGCCGTAAACAATAATTTCCAACCCACTTCAAAACTCAGATTAGCCAAAATCTGACATCTCTTGTATTTCCCATGTACCCTTCAAATATTTCAAGAACTTTGTTTAGCATCCCGAAAATATTCAAATATGACCATGATCCAAATGAATGAGTGGTTGAATCCAATATACTGTTTCTCTGCGTCTTATTTTTTTCTTCTCAAAAGGTAGCAAAATTAAGCTAGAATTTCTGCAACGTGCAGTGAGTGTGCTAGAGTCAGGCGTAATGGCTGAGCCGTGCAGTTCTGTAGTGAATTGAAGCCACACTTGTGGCGCCGACCTTAGTCTCTGCTGGTCTAACCATAGAGATCGTTGAAAAATTTTCAGATGGATAAATGCCTTAAGACAGTCGAACGATGGAACTGTACATTATTTTCATCCAGGCATACTGGGCTGTCCTTGTCCTTCCAGAGCCAAGTTAAAATGCAAACTTGCGATTTGAATCCAACTTATTGTACGTACTCCAAAAGCAGCTGTGACCCATCTGGTCCAAGTCTAATACTCCTGAATATTTTCTCTCACATAAGCAAAGATGGTACATGTGTATTTACTTTGTTTTAACATTCCAGTCTCCTATTCTTACTCCATTTTTACTCTTCCGATACAACAAGCACCCTAACTTCAAAAACACCCATTTCAATCAACATAAATAGAAACGCAACAAACAATAACGGGACTCGCCCTTCGACAAAACATAATTTTACCTGCTAATATACTGTCTAGCCTTGAGCTCAAACCTACGACTCCTCTCTGTCTCCGTAATGTGAACTTTGGTGTTGTGCAGGAGAGCGACTATGCGCATTACGTCTTCCACTCTGTGGACCATAGGGATATTGAAAGGGTAAAAGTGTGCTTCTTAGCCTCCCATCGTAAAAACAACCATATATTATGACCCCCCCCTCACCCCACCACACACGCACACAGACTGGAGACCATGGATGTACGTATTATAGTCCGGACAACACCAAATGGACAACTTTTCGACCTCATTACATCGAATCTAAGTGGCGAATCTCTCTGAATTTTTGCATGCGCTGCTGAATTCTAAAAGACTTTAAAAATCTCGATTTTCGTGCATATGCGACAAAAATAAAGAGGTGCTGTCTATATAATCATTAGTAATTAATTGCTTATTAAACTCAACACCGCACACTTTTTATAGCAATCACGGTACTATGTTGCTGGGGCTAAACCAGAAATTTCAGAAGGGGGGGGGGGGGGTACAGTTTGGTCAAACCCAAAAACGGGGGTCAACGGAGTGCTATGTTTGAAGCGCTATTGGCCATGACACTGAGCACCCCCCCCCCCCCCCCCCCACACACACACACCCATCCCCTTTTACACATACATGCCTTGTCCTTTTTTCAGAATTTGTTATAGAATAAAAGAGACGGCCTATCAGCTTTTTGGAGAAATAGTTCAGTAGTTTAAAGGCAACGGATTTGGGGGTTTGTAAGTATCTAACCATGGTGATTAATGAAAAAGCGACAGAAATTGAAACGCATGCGATCTCAATGACGGAAGATATGAAATAAATTTTACTCGTTATTTATTCACCATGAGTCAATCAAAATAAACCCACTGTCACTCACTAACAACTGAACTGAAAACAACTCTGTCTTGTGGCTCATGCAGTCAGTAAAAAAAAAAAGAAAATAGTTTTAAACAAAAAAACAACAAACAAAACTAACACTTAACTATCGTACTTCGTCTAATAAAAAATCCCTGTGCAAACTGTAATTAAATACTAATGGTTATATAGAAAACACCTCTTTATATTTGTCGCATGAGCATGAAAATTGAGATTTTTGAAGCCTTTTGGAATTCAGAAGCACATGCAAAAAATCAGGACAATTCGTCTCTTAGTTTCTGTGTAATGAGGTCGACAAGTTGTCCATTTGATGTTGTCCGGACTATAGGTCCCGTAAGTCCTGAGTGCATGCAGGGTCAATGGACTACTTTTACGACTGACAAGACACACCGTCCGTTCTGTTTGTCCCATCCTGAAATTCAGTTTAGGGAACATTTGTGTACTTGTTGGAGGATTATTCATGGCTGTCCACCTATTTGCTTTAATCTTGTCGGTAACAGGTGTGGAGTCAGATGTTGTATCTCCTAGTTAACATGACATTATTTAAAACGCCCTTGGCTCTATGTAATAATTGGGAGTTTTCTTTACAGTGAAGCCAAAGTTAACAGTTTATAATGTTCAATGTTTAATCAAATACTCGGATTGACGCTTTCGAACCACCCCCCCCCCCCGATAACCTGAAGGTTAACTAAACGGTAGAGTATATATTGTGTGGTATTGTTCGTCCCGAGTTCAATTATTAGATGAGCGATTAGATGGTTGGTTAGTAGTTTCGTGTAATAGTTTGTATATATATATATATATATATATATATATCAAACGTAAAGAAACCAAGCTTTGTTTAATTTTTGTAAATCAATTACGGAAGTGATAGTGTAATTGATCTCTCGACACAAGAGACAGTGGCTATAAACATAATATACTGTGATCAATGATGTTGGTAAGATGGGAGGTATGTTGGTCAGAAATTTCTTGAGATGTAGAGCAGAGGCTGGTGAGATATTATTTAATTGCTTGCTTGATGCTTGATTGTGTGCAGGTGGCTCCTTAGAAATGGAAGATGTGTGAGATACATGGTTAGAAAGCAGCAAACCTACAACCATGACCAACGCCCAGCTATTCACCATCAGATCAAATTTAAAATTGATACTTCACCCCTCCCATCTCCCAAATCACAATTTTAAAACCTTGCAATTTAAAAAAGAACGACAACCACCCACCCCCCCCAACCCCCTAACAAATTCATGTAAATAGTATTTAAGTTATAAAACCAACCCCAGGGGAATAACAATTTTCTCTCCAGAGATGACGCAGTTACATCATGGAAATACGATCAGTTCCACAGCATTATTATTTAACACATGTCAAGATTACATTTTGAAGGGGTGACAGACTGATATCTCAATTTAAAAAATCGTGAATGATATTGTCAGCGTCTCGCATTTTACGTCACTACCTGGCATGGCGACTTCAGAGCAAACAAAAAGTAGAAAAGACAGAAACAGAAAACAATTTTTTTCCAAAATCTTAAGAAACACACCAAATAATTTCGAAAGCATTTAAGACACCAATGTAACACGAACATTCAAATATATTGACATAGATCTACTCTTTGTTCCCCTTTTACCAGAAAACAACTCTTTTTCATCGTTCATCATTTAAAAACAAGCCAAGAGAGGTATATGAAATCCGTTTTTCACCTACATACTTTTAACTGTGTTTACTGCCATTTTTTTTACAATTTAAAAAAAATATGTTTTCATTCTCAGTCATATTTCAATAGATTTAATGTGTATGCCCTGCGTAAACCATTCAGTTGAATAACAGAGATCCCATAGTCTGTTAGCTGCCTCTTAGCTGCCCCTCTGCACCTCCTTTTTCCATTTAATAGCCCACCTCAAGGTCAAAGAGAGAGAGAGAGAGAGAAGGAGAGAGAGAAAGAGAGAGAGAGAGAGAGAGAGAGAGAGAGGGGGGGGGAGCGGAGAGAGAGGAAAGTGCATAGAGTGAAGGAGTGAAAGAGCGATAGATAGATAGATAGATAGATAGATAGATAGATAGATAGATAGATAGATAGATAGATAGATAGATAGATAGATAGATAGATAGATAGATAGAGAGAGAGTGAGTGAGTGAGTGAGAGAGAGAGAGAGAGAGAGAGAGAGAGAGAGAGAGAGAGAGAGAGAGAGAGAGAGAGAGAGAGATTGTGATGTTTCAATGCTATCGATGTTTGTACATGTATAACGTTGTTACTTTTCTTCAATAATATAAGGAGGAGCAATGGATTATCGTGTCCTATCACTCCGTTTTCAGTCCCTGTTCCCCGTCTCTAAAGAGGGCACTCACCTGTTCGGAGTGAGAAAAACGATAAACTCGGTTCCATATTGTGTAGCAGGCGGAAGATGCTCCATGAAACCACCTTGAGTTTCATTGTTGCCTACGTGAGCAGTAGCAGCCCCAGCTAACACGCCTACTGGCACATTTGAGGTGATGGTTGTTCCTTTGAGAAAACGAAGGATATACGTTACGTGTATAGAATTTGACTTGCTGTTGAGCGAGAACATTTTGTTATACAATTTGCAAAAGCTATTTATTTATTAATCACTAATTTGTGTGCAGTAGTCTCACTGTTTTTAGCTTAGTTTTAATAAGGTTTTACTGCGCTCGCAACTGCATGAGGTCATATGAGCGCCAAGGGGTGGAAGTCCAAACGGGGAATCAGGCTTACTCTACTCGCCCCTCTAGCCTCAACAGCACAAAGTCTGCTTCGACTATAAAGGCACCCCGGAAAAATAAGTTCACAAGAGAGTGACATGCATACAAAAGAAGTAGAGGAACAATGACGATAGTAAGGTTGAGGTAAGAAAAAGCAGCAGTATCCCTTACGTTGTTCCCTCACACTATGAGCATGACTATCAGCCCATTCACAACTCTACTGTGCGTAAGGCCATGTCCATATCCCCCCTTTGGGAATGGCCTAAAGACAGCTTCAGTCAGTAGCACTGCCCTGGTGGTGGGAGGGGGGGGGTCCTCACAGTTTATGACAGATTTGTAAGAACTGCAGAGAAACACAGCAGTAGTTATTTTTACCCAAACAAGTAGCAATTATCGCTTTTTAAAAATTGTAATATTTGTTTTTTGTCTGCCATGTTGTATCCTATTCAGAACTGGTTGACCATGAACAGGCATGTTCCATGCAGCTCACTTCCTAAATGATCTACATTATGTCTATTGAGACGCAAAACGTTTAGAGTCCATGCGTTTGCATGGATATGAATTGGGATGTTGGATTTATGTGGATATATTGTGTGTCTGTGACTAATATGAGTGCAAAAGTTCAGGCATGTAATGATTTCGCATTTGAAAGGTTTCAGGTCTTCATATTTTAAAGCATGCATGGGCAAGCCTTTCCAGTTCGCGGGTCATTTGCTGAAATCAATTGAAATACCCAAGCTATTAAAAGTGAGACTTAAACTGACGCTACATATAGCATAACTTTTATAATAATAATATCATCACTGGCGTTTCATGAAATAAAATATCAGATCCATTACTTCCAGCTGGGTTGGAATCTATTGATCTGAATTTTCAAGACGTACGATTTCGTTTTGATTAATTTATCAACATTCGGTATTTATTACGGGGTTGACTCGTGGGCAAGAATGAAACTGCTTGCGTTGCCGATCCGATCTTGCCCGCGGGCTGCAGTTTGCTCACGGCTGTATTAAAGAGTGCTCAAGAATGTATGACATGGAGTTTGGCTGTGGACCAAAATGACAACAAACTTGAACACAAATTCTTATTAATCCGTATTCTTCTCTTTTCCATTCCCTCGCCTTGCTATTCTTTGTCAATCACTCCCTCTCAATAGATAAGGTTTGCGCAGTACCTAGTTAGAATCCAGGGATATTTTATTGCTGAAAGCTTAGACTATTAATTTTCCTTCTATTAGTAATAATAATAATAATAATAATGGATTGCATTTATATAGCGCATATCCACTTATGCAATGCTCTATGCGCTTAACATGATACATATAATGGATTTACAAATCAGTTTTAAAGGTACATAGTGTTACATACTCATGCAAACACATATTCACTCACGCACGCACCACACACATATACATACTCACATACACACATACGTACATAATAT